GGTATATGTGGACATTTGGTTCTCTTAGACAAACAAAACTTTTCTCCAAATTGTGAATGGATTATGTAGAGAAACCTAACAAAGGGCGCTCCCTTAAGGCACAGTACAGTTAACCGGAAATGACTGAGCTGGCTTATCTAAAACCAGGAAGTAATCGTGCATATGGTCAATTAAATGTCTTTTGACATTCAAGTTCAGAAAGTATTGAAACAGGAAGATGGGTCTGTTGCATATGCTTATACACATAATATAATAATAATAATAATCATTTATTTTATTACTATTACTCTTATTCAATTTTTATTTTGTTTTCTATTTTATTACTTATTTTTTATTGTGTGTGTACTTGAATACAGTCTTGAACTTCTTAAATAATATATAAAATAAAAATAAAAAAATAATAAAAATATATATATATTTTTTTTATATTTTTTATATATTTATTTTATTTTATTTTTTTACATTTAGCTATTGTGCTTTAAATTACTGTTAATTTTTTTATATATATGCACACGCAAAATAATAATAATAATAATAATAATAATAATGTATTATTATTATAATTTAATTTTTATTCTGTTTTATATTCTACTATATATATACAGTATAATATATCGGCTGTATTTTAGTCTGTTACATATACATACTTATTTAAACTTATTTTTATATTATTAATTAGATTGAATTTTAATTTTTCAGATTATTGAAATAGGAAGTTGGGGAGAACTACTGTAAGGGCTTGTCTTCTTTTTTTTTATTTTTTTTTTTGTATACATTTTATTGCATTTATTTAGTTATTTATTTATTTTTATTTATAATTTTTTTTGCCCACCTGCCACCCAGTACTCTAGATATTGTCATCTGCCATTGAAAAACCTGTATCAGCCACTATACAGCAGTTTATTCTTAATATGATCTTCATGCTTCATTCTCATCGTGTTGTAGCCTTTTGTCATCCACGACATGGAGACCCTGCAGTTGGCTGAACAGACTCTTGTGGCCAAGATGGTAGGCTCTTCTGGGGCTCTGCTGAATAAAGACGCTGAGGTTCGAATATTCCACTGCTGTCAGTGCACTTCGGTCGAGACGGTGACCGAGCTGACTGAATTCGCCAAATCCGTGCCAGGCTTCTCAAACCTGGACTTAAATGACCAGGTTAGTGCCAAATACGAGCATCACGTCCTGTAAACACCTCAAGCTTCATAAAAATGAAGATCTTCAGATATGCACATATCTCTTCATTGAGCGCAGTCTGTTTTCTCGGACAGGTGACATTGTTAAAGTATGGCGTCCATGAGGCGCTCTTCGCTGTGCTGGCGTCGTGCATGAATAAAGACGGCCTGCTGGTCGCGTACGGCAGCGGCTTCATCACCAGAGAGTTTCTGAAGAGCTTGCGACGGCCGTTCAGCGAAATGATGGAGCCCAAGTTTCAGTTTGCCATGAAGTTCAACTCCCTCGAACTGGACGATAGTGACCTCGCACTGTTTATCGCTGCCATCATCTGCTGTGGAGGTGTATATATAATATTGTTATTATACTATTATGAATAGTAATATTATATTATTATTATTATCAAGATATTTTTATGAAATGTTTTTTTTTCTTCAATTATTTTTTATTTTATTATATATATATTTTTAGTGATATATATTATAGTTATTTAATTAATTAATTATTTTATGTATTGTTTATATAGATACATATA